AGTGAAAATACTTTAGAATCAGATCACTTTGTCAGCGCGAATGCACTGCGCAAGCGTGATCGGAGCATACCCTGGAGGAGGCATTGTAGAGAGGGAATCTAGAAGCTTCTGGATCCACCTTTGGCGCGCTGAGTGCGAGATCATGCCACACTGATCATACGCCAAACCTCTACGCTGCCATGCCCACTGACATTTCAGGCTGTCATTGGCATCGCACTCCAGGTTCTGAGGCGCATGCTGCAGCTTCACAACATTCTGCTCAACCTGCAAGGTCGAAGGCTTTTCTTTAAAACCAGCGATAACCTCAGATTCACGCTTAGGACACTTCGAGGGCGCAAGCCAATAAATAATGGACGTTTCCATCTGATGATTGCAAGCATCAATGAGCTGAAACGCAGGGTCCAACTCGCCTTCGACACTAAGGCCTGCCAAACGCTTGACCTGGCTTTCACTGCGAGCGCGCTTCTCAGGAAGCGGCAGCTTACGCAAAGTCGACTCAGACGATTCTTGGGTCACCAGCTCCTTGTAAGTTTGAACCACCAGAGCGGTTGCTTCAAAGTGCATTTGACGAACACTAGAAAGGTCTCCCAAGCTCGGACTGGAGGTCGCGTAAACCTTGTTTGTCAAAGCTTCATACGCCGACTCCGTGGGTGGCGTTTGCGGGGTGCCGAGAGCAAAAGCTTCAGACCTGAACGTTTTCACACCTTGGCCATTGAAGCCTGCAAGCAACGACCCATCAGATTTAAGCTCCATGCACCTCTTCTCAAAGGCAGCTTCACTTTCTATGATGGTCGCCATGGCGCAAAACCGGCACCTCTCTAAAGATCGCCAGACACTCACCTGAACACAAAACTTTCGCTGAGTCAAAAGGTGCGTCACAGGTCAAGCATGGTCACGGCATATCCGATACCCAGCAACGGTGATCAGTCAAACAGCTCATTCCCAAGCAATCATGAATGGCACACACCCCTGTTCATGATTCCACATGGGCCATGGGGCACGAGCACGGCACTCTGTGATAATTTCCCCAGCATTTCATAGGTATTGCGTACCGCGACTTTCAGCCATTGCGCACGTAGCACATCTCGAACCAGCCGGTCCTGGAGTCCCCTGCACCTTTGCATGCAAGGGGCCTATGACTCGACTGCACACAAAGATTTTGGAATAATGTGCATACGTAAGATGAAGAATCTTGGATCTCTTATGTTCCCAATAGACCATACCTTCCGCTGGTTCCGGAACCAACGTCCGCATGAAACTCACGGGACCTTTCTGATCTGGACTGCTATCCGAACTAGAAGAGCTCTCTGATGAAGTGGTAGCCGGCGATGACCCTTCATGAACCTGAGTGGCCACCTTTGATGGAGCCAGCTCACACCTGGAGGGTTCCACTTCCAGGTGCTCTTTTGATACTTCAGGTTCGTCCTTCACCAAGACCACCTCCTGAGCAGCCAATTTAACGAACTGCCCACTGCGGGTCTCGTCAGGGCGAAACCTGCCATCTCGGATAGCCTTCAGCACCCTCTCCAGCAAGAGAACGGAAGGAGATGCAAAATCTCTCCCATAGGTGATTGCCATCTGATGGCCTCCACAGCGGTAACCAAGCAAAAGGATCTCGTCCAGGCTCGCCCCGAACTTTGTCGCATAAGAAATACACGTGCACTTAAGAGAATGGCTGCTGATCCTGCCGCAGGATTCCTGCGTGTATCCAACTTTGAAATGCTGCCATAAAGCAGAAGCCGCAGCCACGCCCCGGCCTCATCACTTTCCAGACTTCTGGTTGTGACTCCCATGTCGGCATCCGGCACTGGCATCATCACTCCTCCATCTTGGATACCCAGAGACTGCCTAGCTTGTCTCCAGAGAGTCCCCCAATTGGACTCAGTTACGCCAATGGCTGGGGCCACGACTGGCAGCAAGACAACCTTCATCTGCCTGGCATGCGCAGTTTTGTGCACATCAACGGAGCATTGGATGAACGTGAGGATGCCTCGGTCGTCTTCATCCCAAAAAATCTTTTCACATCTCTGTCACCTTCAGCGCGTCTGCCTGTTTGTGATCTCGGCGTGCTTGTGCCTTTGCATTTCCATGGCAGCGGCGGCTCTCATTGATGATTCCAATCTCATGCACTCCCAACACGAATCGGGCAAAAGCCAAAGCCTCCAGTGTCCCAGGAAATAGAATCCCATTGCCACGTAAAAAGTCAAAGTATGCCAGAAGTGATCTGTACCGCTTGAGCAACGTAGAAGGTGCCTTATGTCCAAGCAAATCTTTGATCATCCTAAGCCTCAAGTACTCTTGCAAGGAGAAAACTCACGGACCACGGACATGCTCGAAGGCCAGGAAATCACAAAGTCTTGCTGCAAGAGCCTCACGCATCTGCTCTGCCCGCTTCTCCTTCCATCAAACCGGCTTGCGATTCCGGACAGCCTGAAGAAAAGACCTTGACTTGGGCAAGTATTGAAGCTCATAGGCGGAGGAGCGTACCAAAAATGTTGCTTCAGAAGCCAGACTCCAACCACAGCAAGATTTGTTAGAATTGACTTTCCTGGCCTTCTTGTACCAGCGAACTTCTGCAGACAGATTCAGCATCTACGTCGGTAAATATCCAGATAAATCATCCTGCTCATCAATTTGGCAACTTCGGCCAAGAATCAAAATTACGACACTCCTCCATACAAGGTTCACTTTCGCGGGACTCTAGGTCAGACGCAGGCAGCTTATCATCTGGCTCCATAGCAATATCCTCTAAATTGCTAGCCGTGGAAGAAATTCCGAATGAAGAAAAATACTAATGGCAGTGCACAAAGATCCCCTTTAATCCAGGGAGTGAAAGTCCACGGCCTCTTTACAAGCGCTCACGCGCTGGATGGCCGCCTTCAGCGAAGTTGCAACTGTTGTACCTCAAGGCGGGCCACCGCCACCTAGCTTCACGGTTCCGTGAGGCAAGTGTGCAATGTCAAGCACCAGCGTGGCTAGAAAGAGTGGGGGCTCCATTTTATGATTTCGTTCTTGCAACAAGCCTGCCTGTTGGACTCAGCGCCAGGGGCTCCATGTCTTTCTTGTTTGTCTGCAAGAAGCTTGCCTGTTGGACTCAGGGTGGTGCTTGGATGGGTTCGGCTGGCGAATTCGGGGTTGGGCCACAGGTGGCCCGGTACTTAGGCTTTTGGGGAGCCCTTGCGGAAACCTGCAGTGGCCAAAACGGATTGGTTTCACGAAATCTTTACTACGCTGTAACTGATCCACCGACAGCTGGAGAACACGGTTTTTATCTTGCAGAGAAAAGATGTCTTGCTTGATCCTAAGGCAAATGTTGGTCACCTCACAGCCTGGATCCTGCGGGGTGGAGTACAACGCACTTACAGAAGCTTCTAGGCAGAAGACTCGGCAGGCATCCAACGGGCAACACTCCCTCCGTCTCGCAGCTTACGGCTCGTTTACAGGGCTCAAGGCGGCTCAGACCTGTAGCAAGTCTCGTACGCGTCTCTAGACAGACAATTTTCTTGTTCGAAACCACTGAAGAGCGCAGCAACCTACAGATGTCATGTCACACAAAATAATCAGTTGAATGCAACACGAAAATTTAAAACAGTTTTTGGTTGGAAAAACATTGCGCTGTTACCGAGTCTGGATGGCCAGAACTTAGCCAGAAAGCATGTTTCTTCTTACATCATGTTTTTCGATTGTCCGGAGCCTAGTGGCTTGCTTGATTGAGAGCTAAATGACGTAGGCAGTTTGCTTTCAAGGTAGTCTTAAACGAGTGTTGTGCAAGAGTTGCTGTGCAAACATCAATGAAGTCATTAAGATGATAAGCAGGTAGCTTTTGCTGCCCACCTTCCACTCCTTTTCTACAAGTCCAGTGCACATCACACATGAAATGACGCAGAACTTGCTTGCAAGAATTTACTTTTCTTTCTGGATCAGACTAGATACCTCGTATTCTGGCACGGAAATTTACAAAAAAAGTTGCAACTGCCCCGGTCGTGGCTGCAGCGCGGCAATCAAGCCGGCACAGTTTTGAAAGCAGTAAAGCAAAAATGGTGTTTGATCATGTTGAACGAAACACTTTTCTTGACCATTCAAGAATTGCATCATGTTTGTCATTTTTCAATGCTGTGATGTCACAAAAAACAGCCGATTCAAGTGGATGCCAAAAGTTCAATCCATGCGCCTGTATGTCCTTTCGTGAGGCTTACCGTATCGAATGACAGCCTCTTGTCGCAAGGTTATGCCCAGTTCACACGAACTCTTCCCCTTTGCTTTCATTCCATGGCGTTCAACATTCAGTTGAGTTCTCTGAGACCCTGCTCCGCCCCCTTGCCCCGCTTTTTTGCCGGCGGTGCGCGGTTGAAGTCTCGCAGCTGCCGCACAGGTGCGGGCGCAGGCCGCCTCGTGAGAACCGCCTTGGGGCTGAACGCTGCCTCTAGGCACTGGCAACGCGTGTTTCAGTAGTGTTTGGCTGCCGTCTGTTGCTCTTGCGGTTATGGAGTCAAAGTCTGCCAGGTTCCTGGCCGGACCGTACCTGGACTGCTGCAGCCGCGTCTGACGCCCCTCCGTCAGAGCCTGGTTGGTGCTGGAACTTCTGAGCGTTGTCTGGGAGCACTCTGAACTGGATGGCGGACTGGGTCTCTACGTTGTCGGGCGCGGCGTGTACGGTCTCGTGCGGACGCGCGTTGCAGGCTTCCGTGGCATCGGCGACGTGATCGTCCCACTTGCCGCCCCGGCGGGGCATCTCGCCTGCGAGATCCTTCTTAAGAGTCTGGATGGTTTCGATCCACCACGGCGGTGACGTTTCTGTCCGGGCGCTTCTGCCGGTGCACCACGCCCCAAGGCACGTTCCTCTCCAGGGTGCGGAACTCGTTTCCCTTGTCGGTGGTAACCACGCAGTGACGCTCGTTCTGGGCGAGGTCGGGGGATCGCCTCCGCGGCAGCGCGCGCCACCGTCTCCGCGTTCTCATCGGGCAGCGCCTTGGAGACCGCCTGAGTGCGTGAATCGCTGTTCCTGCGTCGGTCGCTCGCACAGCGTGAGGGCGTGAGCGCGTGAATCCTTGCTGCCCGGAGCCCGTGCCCAGTGTAAGAGCGTGAATGCGTGAATCCTTTTTGCTCGCGGCTACAAGCCTGTGTGAAGGCGTGAGTGCGTGAATTGCCTGTTGCTGCGTCGGTCCCCCGCACGGCGTGAGGGCGTGAGTGCGTAAATCCTTGCTGCCCGGGGCCCGTGCCCAGTGTGAGGGCGTAGAATGCGTGAATCCTTTTTGCTGGCGGCAACAAGCCTGTGTGAAGGCGTGAGTGCGTGAATCGCTGTTGCTGCGTCGGTCCCCTGCACGGCGTGAGGGCGTGAGTGCGTGAATCCTTGCTGCCCGGGGCCCGTGCCCAGTGTGAGGGCGTGAATGCGTGAATCCTTTTTGCAAGCGGCAACAGGTCTGTGTGAAGGCGTGAGTGCGTGAATCGCTGTTGCTGCGTCTGTCCCCCGCACGGCGTGAGTGTGAATCCTTGCTGTCCGTGCCCAGTGTGAGGACGTGAATGCGTGAATCCTTTTTGCTGGCGGCAACAGGCCCGTGTGAAAGCGTGAGTGCGTGAATCGCTGTTGCTGCGTCGCCCCCCCCGCGCGGCGTGAGCGCGTAAGTGCGTGAATCCTTGCTGCCCGGGGCCCGCACCCAGTGTGAAGGTGTGAGTGCGTGAATCCTTGCTGCCTGGGGGCCGTGCCCAGTGTGAAGGCGTGAGTCCGTGAATCCCTCCAAGCGCGGCGTGGGCTCGCTCCCGGTGTGAGGGCCTGAGTGTGCGAATCCCTTTTAGGCCGCTGTGAAGGCGTGAGTGCGTGAATCCCCGTTGCTGGTGGTTCCTGCGCGGTGTGAGGGCGTGAGCGCGTGAATCCTTGCTGCCTGGGGCCCGCGCCCGGCGTGAAGGCGTGAATGTGTGAATCCCTGCTGGTGTGGGCTCGCGCCCGGCGTGAGGGCGTGAGTGCGTGAATCCCTGTTGCTGGTGGCTGTTGCTGGCAGTGCCTGGCTCCTGGCACAGACTCACGAATTCGCACTCTAACGCTCGTGCGTCCGCTCCTCGCGC